TGATCCACCTCACTACCTGATCACCTTCAGAAATGAGCAGAACAGATCACTCGCCTCTCTGACCAGCTGTTCTGTCATGTTTGATTTTTTTGATGCTTATGGAGCTGGAGACATGCCAAGAGTAATACTGGGTTCTCCAGTTCCAGTGCTGACTTTTGTCTTCTTGTGCAGCGTGACATTGCCTCACCATGTCTCGTCCATCACAGGTTGGCAGCTGTTGCCCTCCTGGTTCTGGAAGATGAGGAAAGTGCTTTCTGGTGCCTAGTCCACATCGTGGAGCACCTGATGCCAGCAGATTACTACAGTGACACACTGATAACATCACAGGTGAGCTGGGCACCCTCGTATCTGCTTGGACTCTGAGAGAGTGATTCCCAGTAAAGGCTTAAAAGCAAGTGGTAAACTCTCAGCGTGTTTGATTTCTCACAGGACAGTGAGAATTCCACCTTGCAGTCCCTTCCATGGCAGAGGTGCTGTGCCCTGGAGAGCACAAAGTTGTTAGACACACAGGAGCAGCAGAACTGATCCCCAGCACTAGGAAACTGGGCACCACTCCTTAGTGTTCACTTGAAGGCCAGGTTAGTCTGAAGGAAGGTGCCCATTAATTGCAGTTACTTACTTTAAAGAGGGCCTAGTAGAGGTGAAACAGCAAACTCATGTTTTCATGTGTAGGACTCAGTATGAAGGCGGCACCATTCTGCAGCCCTTCAAATGTTTCTTGGGAAACTGCATCCTATCTTTGGAGTGCCATATGCAGATGGAAGAAAATACTGAGATTTCTGTACTTACTGTACTTGCCTCAGTTCATGATCAAATACAGTGTTAGTTCTGGCTGTGGGTTTTCCTGCAAATTGGAGAGCCCTCTGGCCGCTTGGTGTTTTGCGATTAGCTTACCCTCCTGCTTCAAAGTCACTGGATAGGAAGGTTTTCAAGATGTGTTATCTTGTATATACTGAGTCCTCTCAGGCAGGCACAGAGCCAAGATAAGTCACAGATATTTAAATGGAACTGTAACTGTGTGCCCATACCATGCACATCCAGCAGATGAGCCTGGCGGGCTTGCCTGTGACCTTGGTGTCTTTATTTTGTATGGTCCTTTCAGAGAAGAGGGATTGTATCTTGGGCCCACAACAGATGAGGCTGCAAGCATCAGTAGCTGAGAGTGACTGCACCACTGAATCAATTCACTAATGTTTACTGGGGATGGTGGTGTGCTGATAGAGAAGCCAGCCCACAGAGAGGAGAAGCAGCCAAATCCCTGTGCAGATAGTGAGATGTCTATCCAGAGCAGATAGTGTTAGCTGTGAGATTTAATAAGCAGTGCTCAATACTTGGCAAATAGTGATTGACAGGGAAAACATGGCACACTGAAGACACAGAGTCTCCTCTACATTTGTTGAGGAAAGACTCAGCTGCAGGGACCTTTTTTTAGAGAGACTTCCTGACCCCGTGGTTGGTCTCTGGAAGTATAGGCAAGACCCACGTAAAGAGGAGGATGTAAGGTGGTGCTTTGTGGGTTGGCCTGATAAAGTAAAAGATCTGAGTTGGCTGGAAAACTTAAGATGCAGCTCTTGCAGATTTTAAAGACCAAACATATCGCCTCATCTGGTTTGTACCACTGTGCCACAGCTCAATGGGCCGACAGGGCTGGGGCAGTAGTATGATATGGCACAGGGAGAGACCTCACCATGGTCTGACTCCTTAGCACTTCCCTCATGAAACGGCAGCTTCCCTGAGATGAAGCCTTCATAAACCTGGGCTAAGAATCTCACCAGCTGCATTTGTGTCTCAGTTCATGCAACCAAAACCAGAGTACATACAGTACCCAGACCACAAATTGAAGCTAATTGAGAAGATCAGGTCCTGAAAGTCAGATGGATTCTAGGTGTTTACTCTGTTGGGCCATATGCAATCATTCACATCTGAGCAGGTTTTAATACCTGTCATTCAACAGGATGCTCATGACACCACAGAAGATCCTAGTATGACTGATGCAGGAAGATGTGGCAGCATAAGGACACTGCTCAGTAATTTGGAAGGGCTGGGAGGCAAAGGATGCTCTACTCTCCCCAGGGTGTGCTTAGGCTAGAAGGCAGCTCCAGTGGTTGTTGTGGCATGAGTGGGCTGCTGTTGTGTTGCACTGCTCATCTCTTCCAACACCAGGACTGCTCTTGATTAGGACTTTATTGTTTTCTCTTTTGCCAACTACAGGTAGATCAGAGAGTCTTCAAAGACTTCCTGTCAGAGAAGCTGCCTCGCCTCATGGCTCATTTTGAGCAGTATCAGATTGATGTCTCCCTCATCACCTTCAACTGGTTTCTGGTGGCTTTTGTGGACAGCCTGGTCAGCGACATCCTCCTGCGAGTGTGGGATGCCTTCTTGTACGAGGGAACTAAGGTGCAACTCTCAGTCTAGGCCTTCCTCCCATCTGCACCACCTCTGTGTCATGGTGGCAGGGTGACAGACATACACATGTGACAAAGAGGAGTTGAGCCTCTTGTCCTAGTCTGCCTGTTTGGTGGCGTGCCTTAATCCCTCCCAGCTTCTGTGTTGTCTGTACTTGCTGCTGGTAGGCAGACCTACTCCCTGATGCTGTGCACAGTATCTTGGCCACCTTTAAACAGGTAGTCCTGCTATGAAACAGCTCTCTGACAGGCTGTGGTCTCTTCTGCTCTGTGACCTGAGCACAGCTGAGAGTATGGCAGATACAGGGAGCAGAAGATGGGCAGAGAGTTAGTATCTGAAAACTTGAGTCTTGCTTTACCCTGTGCATAGGAAGAATGGGAGAACCCTTGTGAAATCCCTATGGGATCATTTTGGAGGGCCTTGTACACTCTGGGGTTTTCATTTAGCTTACAGAGATCATTATGTTACAGAGGTCTTTCTCATGGGATTAGCTTTGTGCTTCTGTAGGCATGCCCTAACGCAGCCTACTGAGAGCAGGAGAAGCCCAGTGTCCAGCCTGTACTGCAGTGCTGTGTGCTCTACCCCCTGCTTCACTCCAGGGGGGCCTGGGCCCTCAAGTACCTTAGACTTTGTCATCTCATACACCTTTCAACCCTCCAGGTGATTTTCCGCTATGCACTTGCCATTTTTAAATACAATGAGGAGGAAATCCTGAGAATTCATGACAGTGTGGAGATCTACCAGTATCTGCGCTTTTTTACAAGAATGATCATGGATTTCAGGTAGGACCACGGGTTGTAGGCCACCTTCCAACCTGGGATTGTGCTTGCTTGCCTGTTAGGTCAGCCTCAAAAGAGTTGTGGCCAGTCTGTTAAGAGAGTTGCACATGCATTGGCAGGTCCATAGAACATGGATCCGTTTGTATCTTTTTGACCTTCCCTTCATGGCGTTACATAAGCTGCTTTTGCCTTGGCCAGCCTCCTTTTTGCAGCAGCTGGAACTTGTGCTGCAGCTTGCTGAGTTTCTCTCAGTTGCACTTGGGGTATTTGGGAGCACAGCACCCCTCGCAACCTTTGATGCCAACATGTGCCTGAGAGGAAGATTTCTGTGATGAGAAGAGCTCAGCATCAGGGGTATTCCTCATGCAGGGGCCATCAGAATTGGACTCTGATCCACCGTCTCCTGACTGGTGGCTGCACACTGATACCTTAAAAGGTGGTGTGGTGTAAGGCTGTTTAAAGCATTGCTTGGGTTGGTGTCTGTGTGAGAACAAATTGCCTGTGGTTCCTTTAAAACTCTGTCCTTGGTGACTTCAGAGCTCAGACAGCTGAAATTTGAGGCCCTACTATTTGCCTAGCCCAGGACGGACTTGGTGTATCTGTTACCATCCGCTACCAGGCAGTCAACTGATTCACCAGACCTGTCTTTTCCATTGTAGGAAGCTGATGAACATTGCCTTCAATGACTTAAACCCCTTCCCCATGAAACTGCTGAGGAACCGGCGGCTGATGCACAGGGAAGAGCTGGAGGCAGAGCTGTGCGAGCTGGCACAAATCAAGGCAGCCTATGTAAAAGAGAGAGCAGAGCAGGGGCCTCAGGACCTGAACGAGGTTGTTAGTGAGGAGGAAGAAGAGATTTAACACAGGCAAGTTCCTCATCACTTCCTCACGCCTTGCAGAAGGTCTTCAGTAGCAACTGTCTGTAAGAGATGGAGCAGAGAGGGAAAGATGGTCACAGCAGGAGTTCAGCTGCCCCAGGAAGGGACCCAGCCAGGCAGGGCTTCTCTACCTTTTCTGACGGAGGCTTGAAAGAGATCTTTAGGTACAAGTAAAATCACTGGAAAGAATGAACCAAGAGCCTTCTCTCATGGGTACCTAAAGCATCCGAACCAGTCAGGAGGAAAACCTGCTCTTTGAAGGCCTGGAGCCTTCAGTGGCTAGTCTGCCAGGAGAGCATGTGTTTAACATTGCAGTTACCGAGTCATGACACTGTTTCCAGATGAGTGTTGGGCCTGAGGAAGTCCTGGGAGCTGGAGGACGTCTTCCCGTGGGACTCGGGCTGTGAAATGGATTGTGGGAGAGCAGAGCTGCCTCTTGAGTTTGTTTTGGTTCCTATGGAAGTCCGTGGGAGCACAAGGTATATCTCCCTGCCTGGCTGGGAAGTGCTGAGAGCCACCTCTCTTTCTTTAGCTCTGAGCAGGGCAGTCTGTAGGTTGGCCTGACCCTGGCAGCACTGTGATTTGCAGAGGTGAGTTTCCTCCACAGCGGAGTGTGCACTTCTCAGTGTGAAACCAACCACGGCCTGGCTGCAGTCAGGGCTTCATGTCATGGAGACTTTGACTGCTGGGGATACCTGGGTCTTCTGGTTGCCTCACACTGGACCAGGATGAGTGTGTGGCCATCTCTCTGCCTCACAGTTACGTTCCTCCTGCATGGGATTTCTATGTTGAGATCCCTGTCTCTGACTCCTATTTGTAATGGAAGGGAGATCTTTTCTACAAGACTTTCCAATACTGAAGGTGTTTGACCCATGGAATACGGCAATCTAGGGGTGAACCTGCAAACCACTTGGACTAGGTTACAAAAGATGTCTTGATATTCTTTACAAAAAAAACCCAAACAACTCATTTCCCCTGAACCAAGGAGCTGGCCTCCATAGGGCTAGCACACAGAGATGCCCTGCCTGCCTCTGGGGATGGGGGCTGGTAGCCTTCTCCCCTGCCTCCCAGACTCACCCATCCCCTGGGCTGCATCTCCTGCCTGTGCAGCTCAGTCCCCAACAGTCCCAGCATAAGTCAAACGCTTCAGATCAGTACAATTTCTTTTCCCTCATGTGGTACCAGGTCCTGCTGCCCTGCTTTGCTGCTGGGCAGAGGTTTGTTCCAGGTGTGCCCAGGGAGCTGGTGCTGACAGCATGCGGCAGGCACTGCTGTAACAGGAGCTCTGTTAGCCTTGAACCCAAGACCAAGCAGTGGATGGTGCTTCCTGTAAACCTCCTGAAATGTATATTCAGTGTAAAGTTGTCAGTGCTTGTGGGAGAAGGGAAAAGAAGCATTCATAGCCTGTACTGTTCTCAGCTGGGTGGGTCACAGACTAATGGAAACAGCACCAGCTTCCATTCACCTAAGACACGTGGTCTGCCCCAGCTCTGCCTTAGGCACAACTGGACAAATCAGCCACTTTCAACGAATTACAAAAGTCTGAGTTGGGGGAGAGCTGGGGAGGCAAACCACACATTGTAGGAATGATCATAGTGGAAATAAGGTTTTGGGAAGAGTGCAGAGATGAACATGAGTGAGGTGAACCCCCTTCATGCCACTGACAGCTGCACATGTTGGAAGTGTGGGATAAGAACGTGACTGGAGTCTCACCACAAGAGCTCAGAAAAATGCACTGGTTTTAAAATGCTGCCACCTAGCTAGAGAAGGTCAGAAGGCAGAATTCTTTACTGGTGGTACTGCTGGTCTAATTTACTCATATTGTTATGTATGTGGGTGCAGACAATACAGATTTTTGCTACTGTTAGGGGCTTTTGAAAGGTTTTATCTTTTAAATCAAGACTGTGGAAATCAGAAGTATACTTACAATTGTATACTTACAATTGTATTTTTCCAACAGCGTTTTGCAGCAGCTTAAAAATATTTTCTTCTATCCTGCCCTTATGTTTTTTAAGAAGGCATTTGAAACATGCATTACTACACCAAACCACAGCCTGTTGTATGTCTATGGTTTATAAATAAACATTTGTCTGTGTGGTATATTATGACCTGTTAAAAAAAAAAAAAAACAAACAGCTTTTCTGAAGAAGGCATAAGGACCAAGCTGTTGTCCTTGATGGGAAATTCTGTAAATAATTTTTATTTGAAATCAGAAAGGCAGCGCATCTCAGGACTGTTGGAAGTGTCTCTTCTGTTGTCTTCACCAGCTCTTGGTTTTGCTCCACATGTGTATTTGCTGAGGACCCTTTCCTCTGGGAAAATATATATCCTCATACCACCAAGCAGTTGCTTGCAGTTGTTCTTTACTAAAAGGTGGTGGACGCAGGAATATCTGCAAGGCAGTGCAGACCTGCACCTTGGAGCCTAGCTAACATACCCTCAGGAACCTGCTCTACTTCCCTTCTGCTCCACAGGCTTTAGGGACACTGAAAAGCACTGAATCTGTGTCACAGGATGCTGTCTGGGCCCAGATGCAAGGTCCCTCAGACCTGCAGTGAGTATCGCCAGTGCTGGGGGTGTTTGGAATGGAGGTTACTCCTGGATGAAGTGCAGAAGGATGATTTGTGCTGCCAGAGCCAACTGTTGTGCTTGTGGAACAGTCTGACCTGGCCGTGCAGCCCAGTGGCTCCCTCTGCCTGTGCTGGCACCTGTGGATAGAACAGGTGTCTTTCCATGCTGAGCTTTGCTGTATGCAAAACATTACTTGTTAAATTGAGCCTTCTGTCTCTGCATTAGTCTAAGCCTTGGGATACCAGCTCCAAACCTATAAAGGATGGCTTTGAATTATTTCCCCCCTCCCACCTAGAATGTGCAATCTGTTGCAGGGCTTTTGGGCCACCGAGAGCTTGTAAAAATTGGTTGGTGGTGGCCAAACACAGAAAGCCACTGCTGTCTCAGTAAGCCTCTGAGCTGCAAACAGGTAGAGGCCACAAGGCTTCCCTTCTTCACCCCTTTGTGGCCCTGGGTGGTTTTGGTCTGAACCACCATTGCCTCTGTAGGCTGCAGCTAAGCCCTTGCAGCCAGGAGTGCACAGCAAAGACACTCCACTGACTCCTGTATCCTGGCGTGCTGCCCTGGAAAGAGGCATTCCCGGGAAGGCTTGCTCTGTGCTGGGTTAATGATTATCCCAAGGTTGAGCTTCTCATCCAGCATGAAGGAGAAAGCTCAGGGACAAGGCCCTGCCCATGAGCGGGAAGCAGCAACACCGTGTAGCAGGAGCTATCCCACAGGGCTAAGTTTCTCCTCTGCCTTGCAGGCTGGGCAACCTCCTGCCACCATCACAGACACACAAGACCTGGGGCTGCTTCTCTTCCTGTTTAAGAGCTCACTTCGGGGGCCTGAGCCAAAGCTGGGACGTCTCCATCCGCTTCTCAGTGCTAAGAGCTCCTCTACAGAACATTAGCTCTGTCTGGCCTAGGGGCATGCCAGCCGTGAGAAGACAAGGGCCATTTTCCCATGCCAGGGCCTTACTGGTGGAGCTGGCACATTTAACACCTGCTGAGGTAGTTCAACACCTTTCCTGGAGGTCAGTGAGTGGCTATGGGCCACAGTGAAGTTGTTAAATCATGAGAATACCCCTGTGCACTTTCTGCTGAGCCTCAGGGGTTCTCCAGAGAGAAAAACAGCACCCCGGGTTAGTCATTGGGAGAGGAAATATCACTACCTGTGGCAAGCACATCTGGGGTGAGGGGTCCCCCATCCTGCTGCAGCCAGATGCTTGCTTTAGGCACATGGTCCCTTGCCATTGAGACCCTTTCCTCTTGTTATTAAATGGTTTCCTGCCAAGTGTAAAGTCTGGCTATGAGACTCTAGCTGGTGGATCAGTATCTGTTGTGGTTTTAAACTTGATTTTCACAATACAGAACCTCCTTGGCATGTTCTGGTGTCAAGCTGCTAGGAAGTTTTGAGACTTGAATCAACATCCAAGGTAAGTAAAATTAAATTTCAAAGTCCCTTGGGAAAAAGTAGTACTCAGCCTGACCTCACAGCCCCCCAATGAAAATAATACCTTTTCTTTTGAAAAGTGATTCTGTTGGTACAAAAGTATCGTTTATGGCAGCATTTTGCAGGGGGGGAAAGTTTAAACCAGTCCCCAAAGCTGGTGGGTGTTGTGTGGGACCAGCTTCCACCTAACCCCTCCATGCCGCCTGCCCCCATACACGTGGCACAGTCTGTGATGCTCAGCTTCACAGAGATGGAAATAATCGCAGCAGAAGAGGTGTGAACTAGGCAAGTTCTTGTTCAATATGATGCTAATTCGGTATAACTGCTTATCAGCTTCCTCCACCTGTTTCTACCCCGGCCTACCACGGGCGTGGCGAGCCTCTTGTCCTCTGCAGACTGGGAAGGAGCAGGGCACAGTGCTTGCTGCAGCATCCCCGGTGCACTGCTACGACACAGCCTTGAACCAAACCTGCTCGTGGATATTGGGTCTGCAAACCCATCATGCCCTTCCTAGAGCTGCAAGGCACGTCACCAAGCAGAAAGCTGTTTTCCCTCTGTCTTGCCTCAGCCTCTCTGCAAGGCAGGACCCTGCTCCCTGGGGGCCACCCCCAGCTGGGTGAGAGGCGTTTCATCCACAGCTGCACAGACACCTCGAATGTGGCCACACCGATGTA